CCTGCTAGATGGGAAACAAGCAGGGTCTCTGGATCCTGACATTACACTACTAGAGAAGAGACAACCAGGATACTTCAAAGGTAACCACCACTTCCCCCAAGCCTGGCTACAATACTCAATAGTGCTGAGGAAGTTGCAGGTCTCATTTGAAATGAATCTTTGCTTAAGAATTCCACTGGGATCTGAGTCTCAAATAATATTACAAGTTTCAAGTGGGAGTTACAGAGAGAACAGGAAGAGAAGGAAACAAATGAGAGAACGAAAAGGAGCAAGTCGACAGGTAAAACGGCAAATGTGGAGGAAAGAAGGAAGGTACTAAAAGGGGGGAAATAAGTGATTTTAAACTGCTTCACGCTGCAGTAGCTGCCTTCCTGCGCTAGTGTCTGCTCCAGCAATCACTTTTACCTCATTTTCTACTCTCGAGAGTACAAAAGAGATATACTATAGGAAATGAGTTCAAAGTGGCCACAGATCTCTACTGACAGGGCAGATGAGGCAGTGGGGGTAGGGAGAGTGGAGCAAGGAGAACAGATCTGATGTATCCAGGAAGACACAGAAGAAAGAAGTTCACAGAATGTGAAATAAATGCTATCTGTTTAGAAAACAGTAGAAGAAAGGAGTTAATCAGCTTTTTAGTATGATTTTTTCTTATTTGTCTACTAGGAGCTACTCTTCACGGGGTTATTCCAAAGTTCAATGGAAGTGCAGACAAGATGTTTGAGCAACCCTGTGTTAAACCTACTATTGTTTAGAGAATAATAGTGAATGCTACTTTCAAAGAACTTTAAGGCCAGACCTCATGTATCTATGTCAGACTTCATAAGGGAAGATCAAAAGGGCATATCAAAGTTGAAACCCTGAAGGACAGATAACAGATGTACTAGATCTGTTAAGTCCCTTCATTTCAACCAGGGACAGCTTGCCTACACATAATACATCCCAGAGTTCAAACTGGGGCAGTGGACCTCTGCACCATTCCCAACGCTGTGCTATGCTTTAGAGCAGTGGTTCTCTACCTGTGATTTGCGACTCTGTGGATGCCTGGGAGTCTGGAGACTGTGTCTAAAGGGTCCATGAAAGACTTAGACTGAACACTGACTGAACAGAATTCAACTACACAGGCAATAGATTTCCAAAGGGGTCCGCATCTCTATTCAAAAATTTTAGGGGTCCGCAAATGAAAAAAGATTGAGAAACCACTATCTTAGAGGCAAAAAGAAAAGGAGTACTTGTGGCACCTTAGAGACTAACCAATTTATTTGAGCATGAGAGGCATAACACAGCTCATAGATGTTAATGGTCTTTTACTGAACTTTAAGACTGAGAGTAAGTTTACTCCAATATACTCATTGGATCTTCTTTCAACTTGGAATTTAAACTGTCTTTAACGATCTGAATTAGACAGCTGTTTGTTTGCCCTAAATTAACTTTATGATAATGGTGGGGGGTACATTCGGTAGCAGAGGGACTGTGAAATACATTTCCTTCTACTTTTAGTAGCTCACAGTCTCTATGTGTGTATAGGAACAGACTAAAAGAAAATGGTTTGCTTTTAATGCTAAGGATTCTTAAATCACTGATGTTTATCACAGAAGCAACCTTGGGCTGTGCACAGAATGCTTTACGAATGTAGAAGTGTTGTTATTAAGCTTATGGCTTTATGCCACCTTGACGTAAAGTTAGTTTCTGAAGTGCCTAGAAAGCACTGTCAGATCAAAGTGATTATTATTACCTTCATTACTAGAAATCGTATTTATCCATGATTCCCTCAGATAGGCCTCTGGGGTGATTACACAGGATGCATTTTTATACTGGTTTGAACCAGCAGCAGGTGACCCTGCGTAAGAATGCTAGTGACCACAGCATACACACCAGCTGGGTGGTAGGTGTGAACACAGCCCTTTTCCAGCAGACCACACCTCCTGAGGCTGCAGCGAATGGCCCAGCAGCCAGGTTCTACCACCTAGTGCTCTCCAGCACTAAGGAGAAATCCTGCCCTTCTGCCTGTACAGGGGAGAAGAGGCTCCCTATGGCCCCCTGCTCACTAGTGCACCCACACAGTAGAGGAAAATTTAGCCCTTAGTATTTATTTAACCCTCAGTGACTTCCCTGTCAAACCCGAACTGAATGTGCTGTTAAAGGATAATTAAGGCTCTTAAATAGGAATCAACAAATGTATACGTTGCAAGCAAATGAATGGCTGTTTTGGTGGCTATTTATACGTTCAGACGTAATGCCAGAATTGCTTTTGGAGTACCAGCTGAACAGTGGCACGCATCCGAAACGCACTGTCAATAACGCAGGCGTAGCGCACATTCCATAAGAGCAGCTCTCTTCTTCCCTCCGCCCCGAGTGTGAACTGTTCTTGAAATGACTCTGAGTGCAGCGCACATGGGCTGTTTAGTGTGCAAGGGAAATGTGGTGTTCTCAGGTTCTAATCTATGCCGAGATCTAAATGAGATTTTGTGAGGATGCCCAGATCTTGTCAGACAACCAACTGTGCTAGTGTGACTCCTCAGGAAGAAAGCATCCTTTTGCCTTTCCAGATATGCTCTGGGATGTCAGAGGTGAGCTGCCTACCGCATGGTGTGGGACAGCTGTTCATGGTAATGCTGTTGCAATGAGCAACAGGATTGTTAAGAGAAGGAATTGGATGATAAGAACTCTGCAGTGCAGGTAAATCCTGTCACCCTCCCCAGCTCTCTACACAGCCACGAAACAACCCACATCCAGGTGAACCAGTGCAGTTCCACTGCACAGGGCATGGAAGCAGGATTCAGGGAAACCATGCACACTCACACACATTGGAGCATAATTGTAGTGGGGGATCCTAGCACACTGATGCCTGGGGGATGCTGAGGGAGCACTGAGGGGCAGAGTCAATACATCCATGAATAAACAGCTCCACCATCCTTTCTCTTTGCAGGGGATGGTGAACAGAAGGAGCAGAGGGCTACTGTAGCCCTAGACTGCAGTAACAGCTACAGTGCTGAGAGGATCACATCACCCACAGAGCTCTGCAGTGCACAGCCCATTTACTCAAGGGGTGTACTGGGAGGAATACAAGCCCTAAGTTAGTTAAGCATTTACTTTGCCATTAAGGAAGTAAAAAATATCTTTAGCGTTTCTAGGTTGAGCTAAATTGTCCCTCATCTCTATTCTGCCCACCCTTTTGGCTACAGCTTCAAAATGCCTGGTAACATGAAATGTCAGTTTTGATGTCAGGTGACTCCTCAGATTAGTCTGTTGAGATGTTATTGGGATGTTTGGGAACCCTAGAACTCCACTTAGAATACTGTACTCAGCTGTCCCACCTCAGTGCCACACAGGGACAAATCTGAAGAACTTCAGAACAAAAGCAACAAAAACGATTAATCAGTTGAAATGATGAATTTGAGGAAAAAGTAAAAGGATTAAATCTGTGCACCTCTGCAATACAAGATTTTGGAAAGGTGCAAATACCAAGACAGGGGGAATGGTTTGGAGAGAGAGAGAAACAAGGAGCAAAGGTGTCCAATCAAGAAAAGGAAAAGGTACTATGGTGGGGTGGGAGAATAATACTCCAAAGGCAGTAGTGGCAATTCCATTCAGCTTTAGATCTTGAAGTAATTCTAAAAGATGGGTACATATAATTATCATCATATTTACAGAGAGAGAAACTGAGATGCTGAGAGTTTAAGGAGTCTATCCAAGGTCACCCTGCAAGTCTATGGCAGATCTGGGAATAAAGCCAAGGTTTCAGGATTCCCAAATCGATAACTTACCCACTGGTAAGCTTTCTCCCTGGAAGAACCACACTGGAATGCTCCCAGGAGTGATTTGAAGTAAATTGGATGCAACAGAAAATATGACCAAAGGGGCCTAAATTTTCTAAAGTGACTAGCAATTTTGAGTCCCTTGATTTTTGGGTTCCCAACTTGAGACATCTACGAGGGATCAGATTTTCAGGAAGTGGATGCCCAGCAGTTTCTGAAAATCAGGCCTTTTCTAGCTGTCTCTAGTCAGGCATGTAAAAATTGAGTCATCCAAAATCACTAGTCATTTTTGAAAATGGAAGCCAAAAGATATTACTAAGGTGTGGACTGGGACATTTCACAGGTAGTTTAATCAGAGAAATTACTTATACTCCAGTCTAATGCTCAATTACTTTAGTTCCAAAATCAGCTACAAGTATTTTGCCTTGTATCTGTGGGAATGTTTTAGAGATGGAGGCTTATTAAAATAGTCAGCCTGGACAACCCCTCACCTACCACATCCCCCAGACAGGATTTACCTCCAGTTATGCCACATACCAGGGAACTACAATATGGTCACATCATTCCTGGAAGTCCTGCATCTAAAAGGGGAATCCTTGAAGTGAAACCACTATGTTAGCAAAGCAGCATTAGCCAGTGCTGTGATACCACTCCCAGGGGAAGTGTCTGATGTACTTCCATGGGGGATATAATTCAACAGAATGGATCACACCAGGGACAGTAAGTTGGGGGTCATTGCACTAGGGCCATTCAACTTCAGAACATTTTGTATAATTAGGAATTGGTATTAAATGTGTAAGTAGTACCCAAATGTGATAAAAGCCATAGAGAAGGGGAGAACTATGGACCAGATCCTCAGCTGGCTCCATCACAGTCAGTGGAGCTATGCTAATTTACACCAACTGTGGATCTGGCCCCATATGTCTGTTATTCTCTATATAGATACCTTTCAGCTATCTCTCTCCCTGAGTTCTATATGGTTCACCCCAGAAATCAGGCTTTCCAAATCTTTCTGTTTTCAGTACTGATGCAACTGAGAGTTACTCTGTATACCTGGTCCCACAGAATCTGTCTCACTTTTTCTTCATTTTCGATGCAGGAAACGTAGATCACACAAACAAGCTATGCAATTAAAGATATTTGTGCCCAACATGCAAAACTTTCTAAGATCCTGTGTAACATTAATAGTATTTGAGATTAAACAAGGTAGGCCACACCAGCAAAGACTTTTAACCATGATCTTACTCGGAAAACTTTCTCCACTCTTGTGATACTTTTCCCAAAGATGGTTCCTAGTTGATCTCCAATTCCAGCCAGCAAGAAGCCAAAGAGTGGAATCCCAAAGATGGCATACAAAATGCAGAAAATTTTGCCTCCTTCAGTGCTTGGGGCGATGTTCCCATACCCTGGAGAGAAAAATTATCATCATAACTTCGCAATTCAGACATGGCCTCTTGTGCAGGTACCTATACACCACACCCTGACTGCAGATGGTTTCTGAGCAAGAATAGGAAGGTTCTTTACATGCTCTCCACCACATTATGCCCGTTGAACAGAAGTCAGTCCAGCCTTTTTAGTGGTGCCCACTGGAAACCATCGTTAGTTATTCACATGTAACCCTCAGTTACTACTATTTCTCTCTGGGCTCATCTTCCTAATTAAAGCTGTTGTTTGAGTAACTGGGCTACTTTTACTCAGCATGGCAGCTGCACAATACGCTACAGGAAACCTTTAGATTAGAGCCCTAGCCTATCTCTTCCATGCTGCTGCTGCATTTGAACTCTATCAATTGCTTCCTGATGGGAGGATGACTCACCTGAATATTCTCATTCCCAGTTTTCAGCTCTGAATTACATAGACTCTTTATCACAGATTATACGAATTGCCATTTCCAGTCCTTACTGCTGTGCTAACATGAGGCTTCAAGGACTCCTTTTATTGGAGTCCTGCTTTGAGCAGGGGGTTGGACTAGATAACCTCCTGAGATCCCTTCCAACCCTGATATTCTATTATTCTATTCACTCTTCTTTTCAATTTAATAATAAAAAACCTTAAGTTTTATTTGAATGTTAATGGACTTTCACAAGCAGCTCTTTAAGAATTCCCTCTGGAGATTATTTACATTTAAATAGCATTGTTAACGTGGTAATAAAGACTTCTATATGTCTTCATGTTGGCCATTGTTAAGGTAACTCACAGAGCTGCCTCAACAGAGCACAAACACTAATTAACACATCATTACCTGTTCTCTGTTCAGTCTGAACACCTTTGGGCAAGTTTGGTTTGGACTTCAGTTCTGGTTCCAAACCTCAGAACTCCATCCAAATTTCTGAGATCCTTGCATAGACATAAGGTTTTTATTTTCAGTGTAGGAGTCCTTCGGGATATTGTTTTCTACAGAGAGCAACTCTCTTATCAACTGCTGTAAAATGCAGGGAGCCCCTTGTCCAAAGATTCCCACAATCTTACTACAGATAGAGTGCAAGGGGGCAGTGGAAGGCTAGTCCTGGCAGAAGTATTGGACTTTCTAGAGAGGACTGCCAGGAAAGCATAGGGAAGGTCTTGTCCCCTTAGCAGGTGGAAGGTGTCAGGAGCCTTGGGTGTGCAGAGGAGGAGAACACGCTGTGACATTTCTAAAAGTGTAGCCAAGGCTGAGAGTGAGTGTATTTCCCCTAGGGGAGGAAGAGCGATAATGCCTCTGTGCAAACAAGTGAAACACCTACAGCCACTGCAGTTTGCACAGACATCCCCTTTCTCCCCATTCTCCATGTGCCTCTATATAGTGCTCTATGACTTCAGTGTCCATTGTGTCTCTGTTTGGGAAGCATGGTTACCATTAAAGAGAGGAAACAAGAATTATAACTGTAACACCTGCACCATTACAGTTAAGATTATTTTAGGATCTCCATTAAAACCCTTTCATTATAGTGGTTTGTTGCTTGACTACTCCGAAAATTATCACACACCTACAAATGGATTATTTAAAAATATAAAGGAAAAATCAGATTAGATTCAACATTCTAACTGGTAAATCCTAGTGCTGATTTTCGTAACCAAGGCCCTAATTGATGCAATCAACAGGGCCTGATTCAGGAAAGTATCCCTGTTTAGAAAGATCACTTAAGTACATGCTTGACTTTAAGCATGTACTTAAATCCTACTGAAGTCAACAGAGCCTAAATATATGTTTAAATGCTTTTCTAAATCAGGGCTATGAAATGTAATATGCCATTTATGAAGTTCCCAAACATTTTTTCATATAAAAATGAATCCATATGAGTAACACCTCAATTATTGACTTTCCACAGAAATATAAGCTACTGGTAAAGGCAAAGATCATCAACTGAGTGTCCTCAGAAGAAGTAGTACAGAGAGAGGTGACAAAAGTCATTAGGGGGTAAAGATTTCATTCATAAATACAGAGATTGAAAAAATCGGGGCTATTTAGGAGGATACAAGTAAGAGGGAACCTGACAGATTAATACAAATATTAGTGGCATAGAAAAGGTAAATTTGGCATTCCTATTTAGCCTTTCACATAATTCAGGAATAAGAAGACATTCAGTGATATTTAAAGACAACAATTTAAAATCTGGTAAAAGAAAGTTATTTTTTCCACGATGCATAATTAACTTGTGGAACTCATTGCCACCAGGTATCATTGAGGCCAAAAGTTTAGTAGGATTTTAAGAAGGATTAGATATTTATATGGACACTGAGTATAGCCCCGGTTAAAATAGCTAGGATTTGAAAAATTAATGAGGGATATAAACCCTCATGCTTCAGGGCATACGCCGACCATAGACTGGTGTGGTTAGAAAGAAGTTACCCTTATGGGAAAGTTATTCCATTAGTGACCACTGCAGAGTTTCTTGCAGCTTCACGTGAAGCATCTGGCACTTGTGCTTGACCTTCAGAGACAGGGTTGGCTTGCGTAGCCATGGCCAAGTAGGCAGCCACCTGTACAAGTAGTAACAGGGTTACAGAACTGTGAACATTTCTGCAGTACTTGATTTCTGGTTCAGTCTTGCTTTCTTGGATTCTCATTATATAAGTAGTTCCGGATATGCACCCCACAGCTCAGTGTCAGATACACTACACAATGATACAGTGAAAGTGCCCCCAAGAGTGCAAAAAGAAAAGGAGTACTTGTGGCACCTTAGAGACTAACCAATTTATTTGAGCATAACTCAAATAAATTGGTTAGTCTCTAAGGTGCCACAAGTACTCCTTTTCTTTTTGCGAATACAGACTAACACGGCTGTTACTCTGAAACCCAAGAGTGCAGTTCTGCTGCTTTGCCTGTCTCTCTGAGATTTAATAAATCTTATTTTGTTCTCCACTTCTCAATGTCACCATCTCCCTTAAAATATAAATATACCTATGGTTGTGATGACTGTTCCAGCAAAGAAAAAGGCACTTCCAAGATCCCAGTGACTGCTGTTGTTAGAAGAGTTTCCTATGGGACTGACTCCTGCGTTATCTGCATCAATGGCATGCTGCAAGGAAAGAGATAACAAGTCAGCCCGCAAAGTGCCTTCTCAGATAGGGTACAGTTAAAGACAGGAACCCCAGCTCCACACACCAGTGGGGAAGCTTGGATCTGAATTCTGTAATTGATGCTCTAAGTACAGTAGCATCCTCCATACAAATTGTGTCCCCAAAGTATTCTACAGAGTTCAGTAATAAATATGAAAGGGGAAGAAAAGTGAAGAGGCACAGACAAGTGAGGAAAGATACAATGAGGCTTGAAATCAAACGGAGAATTGGTACAGTAGAGAGATGCAGAAATGCTGTTCCAGAGGCAGAAGCTGCAGAGGACAAGGCTCTCTAATGGTGGACAGGGATGAGGTGGATGCTAAATGTGACAGTGGGGGTAGTAAATAGAAACAATGCTCATTGAGTCAACTAAATCTAGTCAGTCAAGGGTTTTAATTATCAGGCAATTAAATAAATTACATTAAGTTATTAATATATCAGATACCAAATAAAATGCAGAATACCTAATCTGAAACAAACAAAAAGGACTCCTTAATAAAAATATATTGAAACAAATCTGTGACCACCTAGGACTTCCCAATTGCCACTATAATGCACACCATGAACCCTTGGGATTTCACAGCACTCGTGGTGATTGATCCTCCTGTCTTAATAGCACAGGTGCCTGCCATCTGCTATAAAACTCAATTAGCCTTCATCAGTAGCCATGACACAGCTGAGCAGGTCTGATCCCATACCGTAGATGGCAGTGTTGCATATAAACACTAGCAGTATGGAGCTTTTCATGTATGGTCATTGGATCGTTCTCCATGCCATGCCAATAAAAAGTCTGCAGGTGGCCTGGCGGTAGGACTTGGATTACAACTGCAGCGGAGGTTAACACAGAAACCCCCTTCAGATTACTGTATTCTCTGCATATTTATATATCAGTACAGTTATGTGACTTCATGTACCCTGAGGGGATAGTCACAACTCTAGAAGGCATTTAGCGTCTGGGGGTTACTGAGGTGTGAAGTCTTCCCATGTAGCAAGGAAATACCTGGACTGATACGTTTAATCTATAACTCCAGTACTTCTTGTTTTTAACAAATCCAGTGACACCACCCAACTGCAACCTTCCTTCCCTCCCTGCCCCTTCTGTACCTGTCTCTGACCCCACCTCTGCTCTACTGGCACCTCCCTTGGCAGTCTCCCCTACTCTCTTTCTGGAACATTTGTTCCATCTCTGAAGAGATCGCCACTATCCACAACTCCTACATCTCTCATGCTCTCCATTGCCTGGGACACTCAGTAACCTAGATCCCCCCACTCTGTCATGATCTGGACTTTCACAACCTTGATCTCTGCCTCTCAAACACTCGCTACCATGAATCATCCCCAAACGATTCACAATGAGGGAGTCAAGCTTTTCCTCTCCCCCTCCTGCCACTTTCAACCCCTCCCTCTTATCTCTTCCCACTTGTTCTCATTGGAGCCCCATTAGACTTTATTCTCCTTTCCCACTCCATGTTGCTGTTATATACTCTAACCATGACTCCCTCCAATCTCTTTCCCCTTTGATTTGCATCTCCCTCTAAATATAATCTCTGATATTTATTTTTGGTGACTTCAACTTCCATGTTGACAACCTGTCTGGCTTGTTGGCTTCCCACCTCACCTCCTTGTTCAGCCTCCTTCAATTCAAGATCAACATTCCCACCATCTGATCATTTGGCCTTTATCTTCACTAAACATTGCCCCTTCTTTCATCTGTCCCCATCTGAATCGCCACTTTCTAGCCACCCCGCTTTCAACACTGCCCACTGCCATCAACCAGCTCGTCATTCCATGGTTTGTGTCCACCATGCCCATGACCTTTCTGCTGCTGTACTCTAGCTTCATCTTCCTTCACCTATCTGCTGCTTTTAACACTGTCAGCCACACCTATATGCTTGATATTTTGTCTGCAATGCCCGTCTGGAAGCCATGGTGCAGGACAGCTCCATAGGCTTAGTCTTCAACCCTTCACATGAGTGCATACCTCCAACCATCATATCTCAGAACTGCATTTGTTTCCATCTTTAAAACCTGATTGACCTATTTTGATTTCTAAACAAGCAATTATCCATGCTCTTGGTGCATGAAACATAACATTCTATATATAAGGGACACACAGGGTTCAAAACAGGGATACTTTCAATGATAAAGCTCTCCCAGCCCACCCAATCCAGCAGGACTGAGAACTCTCTCCCCATCCCCTCAGTGAAAGCATAGACAGGCTTTGCAACATGCTGTGAAGATCTGCAGACTCTGGCTCCTCTGGAGTAGAGGGAAGAAAGCTCCAGAGTCAAAAGCCCCTCACTAAGAAGGCTCTGTCAGCAACCTCTTCCCATTTAAACTAGGGATTCTAGCTCAAATGCCTCCACGGATCTCAATTGCTGTAAGTAAGAGTGGGTCTCTAAAGTACCCAGAATCCAAGCCATTTAAGTACTCACACAGTAAAAGGGTTTCTCTTAATAGAATCATAGAATATCACGGTTGGAAGGGACCTCAGGAGGTCATCTAGTCCAACCCCTGCTCAAAGCAGGACCAATCCCCAATTTTTGCCCCAGATCCCTAAATGGCCCCCTCAAGGATTGAACTCACAACCCTGGGTTTAGCAGGCCAATGCTCAAACCACTGAGCTATCCCTCCCCCCCAAAGCATTTCTTATAGACTTGAAAAAAGGTTCCATCTTGGCAAAAACATATATCAATCTTCAGTGGCTTTTCATTTGAAAATGGTAAGTGGTAGGTGGCTTAGAAGTTGATCTACAAACTTTATTAGTGTTTTCTCTATGCCTTACCCAATAATTTATGAAGATATTGAACAGAATAGAAATGGCCTCAGGAGAGATCTTTGCAGGACCTCACTTGATATGCCCTTCAGCTCAGTTGTAAACCATTGGTAACTACTCTCTGAGTACGGTTTTCCAATCAGTTGTGCACTTACTTTATAGTAGGTTAATCTAAGCCTTTTTTTTCGCAGACCACTTGAAAATTGCTGAGGGTCTCAGTGGACCACTTAATGATCTTTCCAAATGATGTTTGTACTGTTAGCTAACTATTGTAAAGCCCTTTGGATAAAAGCGCTATATAAAAAAAAAACCTTAATAGGTGGCTTCTAAATGGTACGTTGCTTTTCATTTGAAAATTCAGAGTGGTAGGTGGCTTAGAAGTTCAAATTTTCAATGTTCATTTTTTTCAGTGCAAATATTCCATGTGATCAAAACCTTTGCTCAGAAGCCAAATTAGAGGGGGAGGAAAATGCCTGCAACAAAGCTGAAAATATTCAGACATAATTTTACAGAAAAACATTCACCATTTATTCAGAGCTCTAATCTTGGCTCCATGTTCCTGTGGAATTATGCTTTTTACTCCTAGCCCATAAGGCACCAGTACAAACCACTTCTCCAAAATCAGAAGAGACATTTCAAGACAAGGACTAAGGCATTTCAGGACTAAGATATTTAGCACAGCTGTGTCTTTACAGAAGTTCAGACACATACAACAGCAAAAAGCTGTTCAAGGGCACAACTGATGTGGTGGTGATGGGGTGACCTCATTTAACAACCTGGCTTATATTACAATTATAGGGGAATACACTGGCTGGAAGGGTAACTGAAATTGCTTTTTCTCACATGGCCTATGCATTTTAAGAGTGGTGATGGATATTAGATAGGAATCACTGTCAAGTGTTTAGAGCACAGGGCTGGCCATTAGGAGAACTGGGTGCAGTTTTTGGCTTGGGATACCAATTTAACCTATCTATACTTCAGTTTCCTCACCTGTAAAAGAATAAGTAAAGTCCATTTATTTATGTCTAAATCCTGGTGACCTCATAGAATAATTTTCAAAAGTCTTTTTGATCCATCACTAACTTTGACACTTAACAGCTGACCTCCCACTGATATGCTGCACACCTCCTATCCATCTCCTCGCTGGTCATCCCCTACTATGATGATCCATCACTATTCCTTCCATGACAACTTTGAGAAAGTTATTTCCATCTCTATGCCTGATCATGTGACCAAAGTACATAAGTTTGTGTCTGTTGATTTCCAAGAGCAGAGTCCACTTCTCTCCAATAATATTTCTAATCTAAGTGTTCATCCAGGAGATACGCAAGAGTTCCCCAGCACCACATCTCAAAGGCTTCATGTTTCCTCTTCTCAGCAGCATTAGTTTCCCAGAATTCACATCCCTAAGTCACTATGGAAAAAGAAGAAGCTTTTCACCAGTCGAACCTGCATACGTTTCCAACTACTGCAGTTTTTCCATACTTCCGTAAGGGAGGCCATGACTGGGCAAGCCATCCCTAGTCTTCTTCTGATTTCTTTGGAGCAGCTTCTTTGGTTGGATGTTTATGATCCCAGATAAATACATTCATATACCTCCTCTACAGTTTGACCATTGATTGTGATGTCTACTTTCATCCTGTTATTATTGATTGTATCAATATACATGCATTTTGTTTTGCCACGTTCAGGAATAGTCCATATCCTCACTAACTGTTTTTACAGACTCCAACATTCACTGCATTGCATCAATGGTTGTAGCAAAGAGTATCACATCCTCAGCAATCTGAGGCCAGTTAAGAGGTGTCCACCAAAGGAAACCCCAGCTCCATGCACTTTATAAAAACCTTCCAAGGCTTGTCACATGATAAATTCTGCATACATGTTGAAAAGACCTAGGCACAAAGCACAGCCTTGTCCCTCACCTGGCCCACTCACTGTCACCTGCTGCTGTTCACACTGTGCTCTCTTGTTGACAGTAGAGAATTGTGATGCGTTCTATTCAACGTTTAGAATCGCCACATCTGCTAGTATCCCCTAGAGACGGTCATGTCTGAGGGTATCAGATGATTTGAAGTAGTCAATGAAACATAATTAATGGGGCAATTATACTCTCTACATTTTTCAGTGATATGACAGATTGTCATTGCCAGTAATAGGCTGCTCTGACATAGTGGTCAGAGA